GCCCCGTAATTGTAAAGGTTTGGAAAGGACTGAAACAGCTGGTGATACCAGGTGAAATTCAGACAGTGATTCTCCATGAGAGAAATGGAGGGTTGGGTTGTGCGTGATGGGTTTTTTTTTTAATATTAAAATACTGTCCCTATCATTCAAAAGGTCTTATTCTGAAAGTGGCAGAACGTTTCAGTTTGATGTTTCAAAACAAACTTTTTCAGATTTTCATCCTGAAGTATAATTTCTTAATTTGCAAATGACTGGGAGGAGCGGGGGCAAAGAAAGCGAGGTTTTGTTTTGCCTTCTTCAAGCCATGCTTCATCAAGCTCCTCACAGTTTTGGAAGCCATTTGTTTGAAAGGCCCACCCATATTTTGCTCTGTCTTACTTAAATTAGAAACTTGTTTGTATTTCACTTTGTTGCATTGTGCTAGATGTGCGATTTCTTGCAGTCCTGGGAGAGCTGGGATTTAGGAAAGAGTTACAGAACAGATCACAAACTGTGATTTAATTCTGCAACGCCTTATTCGTGTACCTAGCCATGGACACAGTGAGTAGTTCCACTGACCATGATGGGGCTTTTCTGTGTCTGAAGCTCACAAGTGAAGGCCTTAGCAAGGCCCATGGTCCATGTCAATGACCAGAGAGAAGTTACACCTGTCTGGTAATTGGAAGAGGAAGGAAAAGGCAATGAAACAATGATGTGCTGTTTAAAAAAAGAGCAACAGGCAATTTGAGAGCCAGGAAGAAGTCATTATTCTCAACCATATTTTTGCAGCTGAGGATCAGTGTTGGTTCCAACAATCCCTTATTTTTTGGAAGCAACTCTTCCCTTAGTAATGGGTGCATTGTGTATGTTCTCTAAATCCTTTTCTTCTAACAGCTCTTGTTACAAAGCAATTTGCCTTGTATCACATTATTATTCAGTTCCATTTTTGTGTCATTTTACACATATGTGAGCTACTGTATTTTATAACGAGTTTGTTTTTTTTCTCCCAGTCTTAGATAATTTATGGCTTCACAAGAGGAGAAACAAGCTCAGCCCTTTGTAGACATCTTCAATGAAGATGAAGCTGAAAAGTCTTTTCTGTTGTCAAAGCCCACTTGCTTCATTGTCCTTGGAAAGCCAGTAAGACGAGTGATAGAAGGTTTTCCTTCAGATATTCTGCTAACAAGCTTATTTTTCCTTTCAAAACATCAGTGATGCTGCCAAAAATATAAAGACCTACTTTTTTATCTTTTCCACTTTGCAAACCCTGCAGAGTGTGATGAAGATTCTGATCTCATTTAATAAGGCAAATTTTTGGCCTGAGTGACCATTCAATTACAATTAGAAGTGGTATTATTGTAATTAAAAGTCACATGTTGCTCACAAAGTTTCTTCTCTTTCCATATTGGCACTGGATTGTTTTTATGTTATTTCAGCATTCTAACTTTTAAAAACACTTGACAGATTAATAAAAGAACCTTCAGGTTAATGTCCTGACTTACAGACATGCAATGAGATATTAAATATTCAAATGAACCTTGATGTAATTATATGTCATGTATTTGGAAAAAACTGAAATCCACCAAGGTGTCCTGGTAAGCAGATTTGTACTATATTTTAACTCAAGGTCTCTCTATAATTCAAGGTCTCTCTTTTTATCAAATAATTTGTGGCCTCCTTTACTTAGGAAAAATTGATGTTTTGTCATTATAGACTTCTCAAATTTCTTTTTCCCAAATCTAGGAGACTCTACAGGTGGTTGGTTTTACATTAGTGCATTAGTTTTCTGAAGGGGCTTCTTTTTTGGTGCAAGTTTGCCTTAGGTCGGTACTGAATCTAGTATGCACTTAAATATACCACTGCTACCCAGAAAGCTTCTTTCCTCTTGAACATTGCAGTTACTCATGAAAGGTGGCATAAGAATCCCACTTCCAGAGTGAACATAATGTCCTCTATCAGGTTGCTCTCTACATTTTTCTGTTCATCTGTTAGCTACCAGAGCAGAGTCTGAAATTACCATATGAAAATCTGCTTTGTGCTGCCTAGCAGGTATAGATATAAATTATGTACTCCTACAACTGGCAACCAGCCCAAACTTAATTGTCAGTTGACCAACCAAATCAAGCCCCAAATCAATGCCATAGTGCTAAGATACAGCTACATTTCCTTTCTTTAAAGGCTGGAAGGCTCCCAGTCCCTAGTGTTTGCACAGGTTTGCATCCTTTCCTACCCCTTGCCTCCAGTTGCTGGGTAATGCTTGACTGCAAATTTTTACATCTGACCAAACTGAGAAAGGAGGCAGGGTGGTGCTCTGCAAGTGGATGAGGTGTGAACATCACGGTGGGATTGTGTAATGTGATAGCCAACAAGTGTGCCTTATGGTCAGCATAAGGCTTGAAAGAGTGTATTCTGC